GAACTGCTTTAGTATTTAGTACTAATTCATTTTCCATTCGTTTGGCTAGCAATTGTTTCAAATATTGCAAAACTGCATATTTCAGAGAAAATATAAATTTTATTATTACAGTGCAAAAATAGTATTTTGTGTGAATATGTAAGTATTTATTATGCTATGAGGCTGTGTGAGGATGACAGTAAAGTTGAGTAACCTATATAAAGGCGTTATAGTGAAATGAAATTTATTTTAAAGTGCCAGGTTAAAGTTACTGTTAGCATAGAGAAATTGGTATAAAATTGCTCAATCTATTGCATTGTAATTTGTAATTTGCTTATATTTGTTTAAATAAATTTATTTTTTAGTAATGTGTGATTCCCATTTTTGTATTCTGCTGTACTGAATCATTTTGTATTAGTATCATTTATTAGTACGAGTAGTTATTGTTTGCAAATATTGAAAAAAATGCCTGCTGCAGGAAAATGTAAATTTGACTATTTCAGTGCATCGATTATTTAGGAGGGTTTGCACGGTTTTTTAATTATGTAACTTTTGGTACATGTATCAGGCTACCAATCGCTGAACAATAAAGTCTGAACACTGGTAGTTCGGCTGGGGGTTAGAATCCTGGTGAATTAGCTGGCTGCAAGGACATTTCCGTCATTTCACTCATACGTAACTTGCATTCGAGCTAATTACTCTTAGAAAGTCCCCAAAGAAAGCATCTCTCCTCTTAGGCAGATAGCAATCTTATGCTTTGCCGTAAGTAAAGAAACTAAACCATTTGTTATGTACATTTCTTATATAACAAAACTAGCATATTAAGAATTTCTTACTATAAAATAGATTTTATATTTTATCTCAAACTGTACCTATTAAAAAACTGTCTATTAAAAAAATTAAAATTTGTTAGAGAAATTTGAAGGAACATGGGTAAGGGCGGCAGTTTACGTTTTTACGCCACCTAGGAAAATTGCTAAATCCGACGCTGGCCAAAAATATACTAATATTTCAAACAAACCTTCTAAATGATGAAACTCACCATCAAATGGTCTGGAAGAATAGAAGAAAGTATTAATAATTCACTAAATCCTGAAAAACGATAACATGCACCTACAAATGATCTGGAAGATTAGAATATACAAATAATTCAACAAACCTGCCAAATGGTAATACATTTCTGCAAACAATGCAGTAGAACAGAAGAACATATTAATAATTCAATAAGATAACACATAATTACAAATTACAAGGAAGCCTAGCATATACTAATAATATTTCTATACTACCACTGACTTAAGTGTCCCACCACAGAGTTTATGACTCTTAAATCAACTAGAAAAAATTTTTTTAGCATTATTATCATTATTTTTCTCTCTTAAACCTATTTAACACATTTGTTTGTAAGAAAATGAGAAGACTGTATTTAAATAAAACAATTGACTTTGTTTTATTTAACACCGAACACTTTCATCTCTTCAAACATAATCTGACATTTAATTTAACATGAATGTCATACAGTCAAAAGTCTTTAATCCGGACCTCAAAGCTACAAACTTTCTGCAATTTTTTTTTTTTTTTTTGAAAAAGAATTATAAATTCTTTGCTTAGCATGTATAACTTCCAGTGACAGCAGGAACACAATAACAATGATGTAAACCTAGGATGGATGATGTGAATATAGTGTCCTAATATAACTGCCTGAGTGTGGATTGGTTTTTTAAATTTTATAGTGTTTGTTTTTCAGTATTACTCTTGTTTTGAAAGCCAAGTATCCAAAATTCCATGAAATCAGAATAAAATGGCAGATTCGTATTAATTACAAACAGACTAACAAAAGAATAAACATTCTTTTATATATATGCATATAAATCAAATTATTGTACTATCACAGGTCCAACTAGTTGCTAGTATAATAACTGAAATGAATGTGTTTATTGCTTTTGAATAAATTTGAAAAAAAAAATAATAATAATAACTTACGCTTTGCTGAATGATAACAAGGAGCCACGTAGAAGATAAAAACTATTTAATTCAGGCAATAGCAACAAATTTCTATTAAATTGCTGAGTTTGTTTATTAAACTCAAGACAAATATATAGTGAATGGTAATACATTACTTTTATATCGCTTGAAAAAGTTATGCGCATGCATTTATGCATGCGCATAATACGTTTAGGCATGCACTTTTAATGTATAACGGACGGTATAAGCTAAGCTAAAATTATGTAATTATCTATTTCATTTAATGTTGCAGATTGCGTTGTTCTTTAATCTTCTGCTTGGATACGGCTTATTATTTTTTGCAGACTGTTAGAGCAATTTTATAAAAGTAAGCTTGAACTTTCGATTATGTCAAAAAGAATTTCCGATTCTGGAGCTGCCAAAGGATCTACAACATGAAAGCATGTTTTGATGTCCATCAAACAAAAAGTGGAATTGCTGCAAAAAATGGATAAAGGCATATCCTTTGTTTCTCGAACCATTCCGAAATCTGTTTTATCAATTTCACGCTTCTCTCTCTCTCTCTCTGTGTGTGTGTGTGTGGGGGGGGAGGCGTCGCGATGCACAATGAACTGGAAGTTGATCTGTCAGCACTATCCTTACCTTCAGGACAGATGTTTTTATTTTATTCGGTTTATAATTCCTTACTAAATGTAGTATTTCATCTCAATGTACTCTGTCTTTGATATGATTTAAATCAAATTCCTCTTCCTAATAAATATCATGAATACACATCAAATAGTTTTCTGGTTGCAATTTGCTAATTTCGACTATGCGTAATGTGTGCTTTACGCATGCACATGTTGAAAGAAATGTTTAGTAAAGTAAACAAATAAATATTAAGTTTTTTTTTTTTGTAAATTTTGATACCCTTTAGATTATAATTGCTCTTTATTTTATAAATTACAGTTTCATATTTTTAATTTTATAATTTCTGCATGCCATCTTACTGAAAAACCGATAATCCAGATTAAAGACTTTTGACTGTATTTATCTGGTAAAGTGATAGGAAAGCATTTAATGTGAAAAAGCAATGTTACTATGTTAAAATAACAATATATCTGTGATCGCACACTTATTTAAATGTGAATGGCTAATTATTGTAACATTTATTAACTTATTCTTCTGCCTTTCTTACTAGGTTAACAGAGACAAAAAACATATTTTAACTAGCAGAAGTACCTGTTGTTGGCCAGACTTTATGCTGAGAAAAGATGTTCTATTTAGGGAGGCTTCCCCACCCCCTCTAAATCTCAGATCGACAGTGATCTTTATTTTATTTTGGTTCAAGGCAAGTTGTGCAAAATTTTATTAAGCTTCAATAAAACCGTAGAACTTAGCACAGTGCCATGTAGTAGTTCTAGTAAAAATGATACTTATTATGTCTCCTTTGGAAAATCAAAACACTGGCTGAAATCTTCACCGTTTTTGAAATAATCCCAAAAAACTAACAGACAGCACACTTAAATTTTGCCCTTGAACATTCTACACTGTTTTAAAGAGTAAACGAACATGGTACCATCTAATGATTTTGGTAAGAAATGCAACGGGAATGCAACAATGGTGACATAATCTCACAACTGAAATTGTGACAATTTTTTTTTTTTTTTTTGAAAAAGAATTATAAATTCTTTGCTTAGCATGTATAACTTCCAGTGACAGCAGGAACACAATAACAATGATGTAAACCTAGGATGGATGATGTGAATATAGTGTCCTAATATAACTGCCTGAGTGTGGATTGGTTTTTTAAATTTATAGTGTTTGTTTTTCAGTATTACTCTTGTTTTGAAAGCCAAGTATCCAAAATTCCATGAATCAGAATAAAATGGCAGATTCGTATTAATTACAAACAGACTAACAAAAGAAATAAACATTCTTTTATATATATGCATATAAATCAAATTATTGTACTATCACAGGTCCAACTAGTTGCTAGTATAATAACTGAAATGAATGTGTTTATTGCTTTTGAATAAATTTGAAAAAAAAAATAATAATAATAACTTACGCTTTGCTGAATGATAACAAGGAGCCACGTAGAAGATAAAAACTATTTAATTCAGGCAATAGCAACAAATTTCTATTAAATTGCTGAGTTTGTTTATTAAACTCAAGACAAATATATAGTGAATGGTAATACATTACTTTTATATCGCTTGAAAAAGTTAGCAAGCAATATAAGAGGAAATGACTCCTATATTTACTAAATAGATAGGATGAGGATTATTTATACGAGATTAATGAGGAAAATTCCCCCTTATCAAACAAGAAAAAAATAACTGAAAAAAAGATAACAGTAATATTAGCCGCAAAACTGTTAAGAAAAAGGGAGAATTGTACGTACACATAGCAGTAATTTAAGAAACTTTTTTTTTTTTAAATCGAATGGCGGGCATTTGCCTCTTTTCAGCACTGGCCATCCCTAAAACCAGAAGTGGTGACCATTTTATTGTGAAGGTACCTAACAGGTGGCTACCATTACCTCCTATATGGGGACAGACAATTTATATCCATGCCTTCTCCGGGATTCGAACTGTGGGCCTTTGGTATCGCAGCCGGCACTTCCCTAACCACCATTCCGTTTGGGTGGCATTTTAAGAAACAATTTTAAATGATTAGCAATAAAAAGAACTGCACACATGGACAAAAACTGTTACCAGAGTTTTCCATCCAGATCAGTGATATTCTAACTAGGGTTGGGATCATGAAATTTATTGTTGAGATGCGAAGTAAATAAAAATCCTAAAAAATTTGAACTGATGGTATTTAACTAAGTCACCATGATTGGGGTCACACTGCCATAAAATTTGAATAATACCGATCCATATTAATCAAGAAAGAAAAGACTTCTAATCAGAAAAGAAGAATGCCAATGCTTATTTATCGAGTAGACAAAACATGGATTACAGTGCTTGCTCTCATTTATATGCTTTTGTGCAAAGTCTGGCTTTCATGTTAAAAAAACTATATATATTATACAAAAATGATTTTGTACTAGTTTCAAAATATATCATGGTATTAAATTATACAATATTATCATCATTTGAAAATAATTTGCCTTTATTTCATTGTATTTTCTGTTTAACATTAATAAAATTGTAATAAAAAAATTTAGGAGTTAAAAAGACAGTTTTACAATTATTTAAATTTATATGAGAGAACATCATTACATTACATCATTACATCAGAAAGTTAAAAAGCCAAGGTCCAAAATTATTTTTACTTTCAATTAAATGGGAGCGAGAGGGAAAAAAAGATTTATACCTCTGAATTCTAGTCGACAACTTGAGCAAAATCCAAATCTTGTTCGACTACCTGAGAATCATAGAAATTATGCTTATTTTCAGAAGCTCAAAGAAATTCTGCTCAGTCACTTCAGATAAATCGAAAATCTCATGGACATGCCCTAGGTGATCAAGCAGAATTTGAAGTTCAGATATGTTCAAATTCTGCCTGATCACCTGAGGCTCATCCAATTTCAACTTGACGTTCATCTAGATACTGCTTGATCGCTTGAGGCACATTCCAATTCTGCTCAATAACCTGAAGCGTGTTACAATTCTGGTCGATTGCCTGAGGTGCATTCCAATTATGCTTGATCACTCGAGGTGCATTCCAATTCTGCTTGATCACCAAAGGTGCATTCCAATTCTGTTCGACTGTCTGGGGCTCATTCAAATTCTGATCTATCGCCTGAGGCTATCAAATTCTGATTCAAATTCTGATCTATCGCCTGAGGCTCATCCTAACTCTATTCGATCTCCTGAGGTGCATTCCAATTTTGCTCGATCGTCTGCGGCTTATCTCAATTCTCCTCGATCACCTGAGGCTCATTCCAATTCTGCTCGATTGCTTGAAGCACGTTCAAATTCTGTTTGATCGCCTGAGGTGCATTACAGTTCTGCTCGATTGTTTGAAGCGTTTTCAAATTCAGCTTGATCACCTGATGGGCAATCCAGTTCTGCTTGATTGCTTCAGGCACTTTCCAGTGCTGCTCAACTGCCTCAGGTGATTTTCAGTTCTGCTCTATTACCCAAGGAGCATTCAAAAGCTGCTTGATTGCCTAAGGTATATTATACTCCACTTGACTGATTGCATTATATTTCAAATTTACTTCAATGCTATAGAGATTGAATAAAACTCTTCTTTCACTAATACTAGCACATGCTAAGTAGAGTAGGCCATATGCCAGTATTGCTAGATAAAAAAGAAAATGGAGAAAATATAGATAAACTGAAAACATTATATGAATAAAAGTCAAACAAAAAAAATTAGACCTACAGAACATTCAGAAATATGTAAATTCTATATTAATTAAATTATAAAATGAAAATTTTTCTCTTAAAATTCATCGCATTATTTCATAATGCATAAGTTTGATTGTGATGCTGACTTTTTTAGTAGTTGTTGGTGACTGTAATGGCTTTGCGGTTAAAAAGGCACCATTTGATAAAACAAAACAGAATAGTTATTAAAATAACATTAAAGCATAAGCAGAACACTGCTCCTACAACAAACAAACAGAGAGCACTTTGTTCCCCTATGGTAAACATTCACTTCACTCCCCAAGCGGCAAACATCCAGTAACCTTACATCCAGTCACAATAAGAAAAAGAGGAGAGGCTTGGGAGAAGAGGCAAAATGTGCCAAGTGTGCTTTGTTGACTGCCAACAGTTGTCAGATATTACAGTGACTTGGTCTCGTTTAGTTGATTACGGCAAAGCAAATGAGGGCTACCTGCCAAAGGGGAAGGGATGTCTAAGTGGAGGACTTTCTAAGGGAAACTGGCTTGTATACACATTACACATAGGGAACAACATGAAAACGCCCATGCTACCAGCCTGTTTGCAGGATTCAAAACTTGGACCGAAATACCAGCGTTCAGTGACCTAACCGCTTGGCCACTGGTGGGCCAATACTACATTGATTACAATATTTTATTTATGACTTGTCCATTTTGTTCGAATTCAGAAGAGATGTGTAGGCACTTCATTTATGGTGAAGGTTTCCAGTTCTTAGAATCAGGTCACCTAGCAGAAAGTCATCATCTTGTTAGGTTCACAAACATTTGAGAAAGTCTTTTTAAAAGCTCTAACAGCTTTTTCATATGAATACGTTACAAAGTAATGCTTAGTAATAATAATAATAATAAAAAAAAATAAAAAAAAAACATTCTGTTTTGGAACAATCCATTTTTGTGTCGAACCAAATAAATAGTGTTTAAAGCAACATCATAACCTGCAACTGGAACTTCAAGCAATACAGTACAAAGTCGGTAATCCGGACTCGTCGGGACTTTGATTCCGGATTATAGATCATCAATTTAACTCTTTCGCATCGAGAAACGACCAAATCTCTTTTCAACAAACATCGAAAACGTCCATGTTTACGAATTTGTCTTGGAATAGTTTTCCTTTCCCCCTTGCTGCTCTTGGAGGTTTTTCTGCGGTTTCTTCCATTGTGTGCAGTTTCACCTTAGGGCCGGATTGCACCTGCGAACGTCAATAGTTTTCTGTATTTCTCCTTTATTTGCTTCAAAAGAATGATTGACATGTCTTTTAACAACTCGCGAAACCAATGAGCCATACACTAACGTGGAGGGGAAAGAACTAAGTAGAAAATAAACAAGGCGTTGGAGTGGTTTGCCGTTGCCTGAATGAACGGTGCGAAAGATGCGAAAAGAACTTCGATGCGAAAGAGTTAAATATAGTAAGATGACATGCAGAAATTATACAATTAAAAATATGAAACCGTAATTTATGAAATAAAGAGCAATTATGATCTAAAGGGTATCAAATTTTACCAAAAAAATATTTATTTGTTTACTTTATTAAATATTTTCAATGTAAGTTGTTTAAGATGATTTCAGAAAAAATTCAAAAAGTTCCTTTTTCTTTTTTTTTTTGTGTGTCATCCAATGCCATACTCCTCGAATAATTTTGAGATGGATATGCCTTTATCCATTTTTTGCAGCAATTCCACTTTTTGTTTGATGGACATCGAAATATGCTTTCGCTTTGTAGATTCTTTGGCAGCTCCAGGATTGGAAACTCTTTTTGACATAATCGAAAGTTCAAGCTTAATTTGTATAAAATTGCTCTAACAGTCTGCAAAATATAATAAGCCGAATCCAATTAGAAGATTAAGGAACAACGCAATCTGCAACATTAACTGACATGCCTTAGAATCAGTAAAGATAATTTTAGCGTAGCTTATACCGTCCGCTATACATTAAACATGCATGCGTAAAGCATATAAAAAAAAGTTTGTGGCTTTGAGGTCCGAATTATAGATCATTCCGGATAATGGACGTCCGAATTACGGACTTTGTACTGTATATTTTATTGGTAACAGAATACCAATGTCATCCACTGAAGCAATTTGCCATTCAAACCAATGTCAAAATACCCCAATTTTTTAAAGTTTGATATGTGCAAGTTTTAGATCACCTGTATAACAAAATTACTATGGGTAGAGTAGACTTTAAGGTACCACTTGTACTATGGCGAAGTTGTTGTTTGAGTTATCGCCAAGTTGTTTGATTTATGGTAGCCTGAGTAGTTGAATGTTATGGAAACCCTATTGTGACATAATCGGGTACATGATTCTGGGAAATTTTGAATCATGGAATGTTTTGTAAGCGTTTCTGTGGTGTGTGTTGCTTTGATTTTTTAGACGGTAGAATGGCCAAATGTAGTAAGATTAATTTGATGTTTCTGTACGATTTGGAGCGAAAGGGGAAAAGAGCTTTTGAATCGTGGAACTGTAAATGTGTGTAAATGAAGGTTTACTTGAGTAGCCATTATAAGTGTCCTGTATGTAGGAAGGATATGCGTCTAGCCGAACGTAAAAACCGTTTAGATGGATTTGAATGGGTTTGTAGGAAGAAAGGTTCAAATGGTCACTATGTGAAGCGTTCAATCAGAAAGAGTACCTGGTTTGAAAAAAATCATTTGAGTATGATTGATATTTTGATTTGTACATGGTTCTGGGTGTACGAAGCAAACTTGAAAATCATGGTAAGTGAATATTTGCTTTTGGTAGTGCTTAAATGTATAACATGTTTTTCCTTTTTTATGTTATTTTATTGTTTGGTTTAAAATGTATTTTATTGAGATTATGTATTTTTTGTTTGCCTATATTGTAGAATTGGGTATACCTTTGACTTTTTAAGTGAAAATATATCGAAGTGTACAGGGACAAAGTAAGGGGAGTGTGCAATACAAGTTTGTGCAATTCTGGGATTTTTTTTTAAAGTGAAAATAGGTCAACATGTACATGGATAAAGTTAAAAGAGTACACAATGCCATTTTTATGCAATTTGGGGATTTTTTTTAAAGCGAAATTAAGTCGACGTGCACATGGATAAAGTCAAAGGAGTGCCCAATGCCATTTTTGTGGAATTTGGGGATTTTTTTAAAGTGAAAATAAGTCGATGTGACATGGATACCGAGTTTGTGCAATTGTTTTGTCTGGTTATTTTGGCTTTGTGCAAAAATCGCCGCTTCGCAAGCCAAAATAATGAGTCAAAGAATTGCACAAAATCAGTATCCATGTGCCGCCAAGGGGTACCCTAAACTATATTTTTACCAATTACTATATGTAAGCAACCATAATGCAGCTTCAGTGCATATTATTCTAAATCTTAAAACATAGAATACAATAGACCTTTAAAGGCAAAATATTGCTCTAATCAATACGAATACTTTTTGTTCTGAATTGAACATTTCACATCTCTTGCATTCTGCCCTACAGTAATGGTACAAAAGTAATAGTCACTTGAGAACAGGAAACAAATGATACACTTAAGTTTTCAGACATTATATTATAGAAAATAGCTTTATTTTGCTATTTAAAAATTGCGTAGGTTATTCAGAAAGTTAGCAGTACCCCTATGTAAAAATTTTCAGTTAAAGGCTATTTTGATGAAACTGTCTGGCACTTCAGACAGTTTGCTGTATCGTGTGACATATTTATCAGTAGTTGTATAAAGTTTATGGTGAAAATGCAATGCCGAGTGAAGCTATTGCAAAGTCGTGCGACATGTTTGAGAACGGACGTACAGATATTGACGACGTTGAGAGCCAGGGAAGACCATCAACTGTCACTAATTCTGAAATTGCTGCTCACGTGAATGAATGCATTCTTGCAAACAGACACATAACAATAGACGAAATTTCCAATGAACTGCATATTTCTCATGGAAGTGTGCACAAAATTATTGTTGATCAGCTTCAACTTCATAAAGTTTGTGCTCAATGGGTGGTGCCTCATCTACCGACGGAGGAACATAAAGGGAAGCACTTTGAAAGTGCGTTAAAATTTCTGCAATGTTACCAAATGGAAGGAAATGAGTTTTTGGACAAAATTGTGACAGGAGATGACACTTTGATTCACCACTTCTCACCTGAAACAAAATGTAGCTCCCTCGAGTGGAAACATTCCACTTCCCCAATATGAAAAAGTGTCGAACTTTTCCATCTGCGGAAAAGGTAATGCTGATGCTGTTTTTCGACAGAGAAGGTTTGGTCCATACAGAGTTCATGCCGAAGGGTGCCACAATTAATGTATCTTCTTATTGTGAAACACCAAAAGATTGCGACAATCACTTAAAAAAATCGATGGCCAGGTCATTATGTCGAAAGGCATTATGCTCTTACATGACAATGCAAGATCGCAAGCAGCAAAACAAATGTGCAACCTTTTGAAAAAGTTGAGGTAGGAAATGTGATCTTATACCCCGGACCTTGAAGCAAGTAACTTCCATGTTTTTGGTCCCATGAAAACAGAACTTTCAAAGCGACGATACCACTTGGATGATGAGGTGAAAGCTGCAAACCAAGAATGGTTATTGGATGGGATTTCTTTGCAGAAGGCATCGAAAAATTTATACCTTGCCTCGACAAATGTTTAAATAATGGAGGTAATACTGATGAAAAGTAGATTTTAAATCGAACTTTAAGATACAAATAAAGTTATAGTAAAATTTCTATCCTGTTTTGTTTTCTTAAGCAGTGCAACTAACTTTCTGACTGACCCTCGCACCTGGCCCACTTTTGCTTGCATAGCAGCAGCAATACAAGAAACCATCACACTATATTAAGGAAAACCACACAGAACTGGTTCTCAGTTTGTCCAAAAAAGATAATACAGAGATGTTTTCAAAGAGGCACTGATCAATCTCATGTTTAGCATTTCTTATGGGTAGGCCCTTCCTTAACTTATTCCTATAGGTTTCTCAGCAATTAAGAGCAATGCAAAGGTCAGTCTTACACATTTAGAAGAAGTAAGTACATTCTGTAATACTGACACATAGTTAGCAAAGTTTTAGATTCTATTTTGTTACACTGCTTTTACTATGATGCAGATTTTAATACATTTATAATTTTCTTTCACTCAGTTTTGTTTTCTATTCTTTATTTATATGTGTGGTTTTTGCTACGAGATCAATTTCAAGTTTGAATATCGATAGATTCTAAAACTAAATTTCAGCTCATTATTATAATTGTGCATTATGCCGCTGAAAATTGATCAGTAAATACATAAAAAAAAAAAAAAAAAAAAAAAAAAAAAAAAAAATTAGAAAAGGATTGTAATTAATTTCAATATATCCTCCTATTGATGACGTTATGTTGGATTTCATAGGGATAACAGCAGGTATTGGGAACCTCATACATTGATATGTTAAGAGTCTCGATGTTAATGAAGATCATGTTAAAAAATAAAATTGGTTTCACATTATTATTTCATGCATTCTTACTTCTGCAGCTATTTGTAATCTAGTCACTCACTCACTATCCTACATGCAACCATAAGAATGTTTTTCAGATATAATTATATATATATATATATAAAAAGAATTTTAATTCAGAGTTAAGTTCCTTAACAATCACAACTCAGTATTAGATAACAACTGTAAATGTAGCACTGCAATTCGAACAAAGCTTTTGAAACAGACTTTCCCTGAAAATTCAGACTATTTACATGAGACGTCCACATAAATGCACAAACATATAAATACATTCTTAACCTAAAATTTCTTTAATAAATTACTTTAAGACAACTCTCATCATATGCTTATATTATTCATAAAACAGCCAAAAATTCAGGTTTTAACAAAAACAAAAATACCTACAAAAGAATGACAAACAGAAATTTTATAACTTGCTTTAGGCTATTAAATGTATGCTATTAAATAAATATAAATGAATAATAAAATTCTGAGAATAACCAATCAAAGTATAATTAACATCCAATTAAAATAATTTTTATAAGGATATTAAAACTTACATGTTTGGTGATATTTCTAGAAAACAACCTTCTGGATTCACTGTTATTCTTTCGAGCCTTGTTATTACCTGTAAATGTAAAAAGTTATTAAAAAGAAGTCTGCTGTTACTCCTTGAATTATCAGTTTTGAAATTTATTAAAAGGAAAAACATTATTCCAACATGCTCAGCTCACCAAATGATAATAAGCAGTATTTGGTGAGGCATCACATAAAATAAATTTTTGTTCATTTATGGTTAAAAATAGTACAAAATAAATCTGCTATTTACCATTAGCCACATTCAAATGCCCAGAGGAAATTATCTCTGACGTTCATGAAAAGAACACCGGTTATTGAATTCTATTTAAAAAACAAGTAAAAGAATTAATAAAAAAAAAAAAAAAAAAGAGCTTTAAAGAGATATAAATGAAAACACTTATAGAAAAATTATTGACAAACCAAAAGACAGTTGGGGGAAAGGTCAACCACCAGTAGATGTAGTAAAATATAGTTATATGCTGACCATGCTGAAGAGGCATGAATGCAAGGTCCAAAATAGAACTAAAATTGTTTTGAAAAGAAATACTACTCTTAGTTTGTCCTAAATTGCATAATCAAAATTTTCAGTTCAATGAAATGACATCCAAGCAAATTTATACAAGGATGGCCAATTACATCTCACAATGGAATTTTTTTATAATGAATAATTTAATTCGTTAAAATCAAATTACATGTATAACAATTTAAAAACAAAATGGCCAAAAATGCAGAAAAGACATATACCTAAGCAACACTGCATTAACAATACACCAAGTGATCCAAAAGTAATAGGAAAAGTTAAATTCAGCAATTCAAAGTGGCACGACACAGTTTTCACAGAAATGGATGGGATTTCCTTAAATAAGGATAACATCCGCGGGCAGAATAGTTACATTTTCCACCTGCAAGTTATATTTCAGTCCTGCAAAGTAAACGACTATCCGACATTCAACTAATCGGAATATTTAAGAATTTTAGAAAAATTTAGAGAGATCTGAAATGCCATTACATATGATATTGCTGGTTGCTCGAAAGCTTGAGAGACGATGCTTACAAAAAGAGGACGGTAAAGAGGGCCATAACCTCGAAAATGAAAATATACTGTAAACGAACAGTGCTATTTAGAGCAAAGAACGCAACTGAAACAAATTGACAAGTATTGCCTTGGTTTGCAGTTGTTAAGTCTTTCTGCCCAGAAACCGAAAAATCAAGGAAATGAGTAAAGGTAGAGGCAGAAAATAATCTATACGAAATTTTTAAAGCCAGGTCAACAATCTGGAAAACAGTCTGGGAAAACAATGTGACCCAGACTTAATGTAGAAAAAAATAAATATGGCTTTAAGTAACACAGAGAAAATGAAAGAGAAGCATGAATGTATTTTAATGGTGCAATAAGAATGTGTCAAGGAGGAGTCTGCATGACCTATCATCTACTGATTTGCACGAAGAAAAAATTTTGGTGTATCATCACGGTGCCTGGGTCTAAGACCCTTGCAAGGCCAACTAGATATCTACAGGCCTGCTCCAAGCTGATGATCACATGATCTGACGTCATAATCTTAGGCTTTCAATTTTGTTAGTTGAGCTTGCTTCGCCATAGGACTAGTGCTAGTGAGATAATTGTTTACATGTGTTTTTTCTTCTGAAAAATTTTGTATTTTACCGGAAAGTACAATATTATATTGTGAATTCGAATTTATAAGAAAAAGTGTGTTTTAGAATGCCAAGAAAGTGTAGTGTACCTAAATGCCGATCAAATTAGGATAGCACTACTGAACATGTGTCCACTTTCAAATTTCCTTCGGATCCTGTACTCTCTCAGAAATGGATAAAAAATATTAATCGCAAAGATTTTGTAGCTGGCAAACACAGTAGTGTATGCATTAAGCATTTCGAAGAAGAATTTATCGTTCGAGAAGATAAAGCTGTTCGTGATGATGAGACGGTATTAGTAGTTCCTAGAACTATTCCAGCTTTAAAAAAAGATACTTATCCAACGATTTTTCAAAACCAGCCATCTTATTTATCGAAGAAACTTCCTTCCCCAAAAAAGAAAAACACCGGAAGAAAGAGAAGCAGAAATTGATATTCGTTGTGATAAACAATTTGAACAGTGGAAAAAGAATGATATTATTAGCGATTTTGAAAACCTAATAAATGGTTTTGCAAAAAAAATAGATCTTCCCTCTTCATGGATATTCATTACCAAAGGTAAGATCTTTTGGCTATCAAAATTAGAATTTTTAAACTGTCCAAAAGTGCTTGTATCTTTAAAAATATTGGAAGATTTAAATGTAAGAGGGTTTTTTCAATGAAAATGAAATTCCCATTGAAAAGTTCAAATGGATATTTGGAGAAGAAAAGCTATGTGATAAATGGTCTAAACTTGAGACAATGATTAGCCATTTGGATGGTTTTTCTGCTTCTGATATTCATGATGACTGCAATTTAAATTTAGATAAAATATCAAAACTACTGTTGAAATGTGCAGAAACAGAAAATAACCCACATTCTGAGAAATTTAAGTTTTTGTATGAACAGATTCAATTAATGCAAATGAAACAGCCTTCGTATAGTGCAGAATTCCTTGCCTGGTCTTGTTATATATTTTATTGTAATCCAAACAGCTACAATATTATACGTAACAGTAAGTATTTTATATTGCCTCATCCGTCATACTTAAGGAAGTTATCTCTGAAAATTGGCCGAGCAGATTCTGGATTGCAAACAAGTCACTGGATGTATTTGAAAAAAAAAATGTGAAATTTTAAATGATTCTGAAAAAATTGTCAATTTATTATTAGATGAGATATATATAAAACCACAAGTTTCGTATAAAAGTGGTCGTGTTTTAGGTTTTTCGGATAATTCGCAGATGGAGGCCACAACTCTGCAAACATTTATGATAAGCTCTATATTATCAAAAAACAGAGATATTGTAGCAATGTTTCCCGTAAAAAACTTATCATCACATCAATTATTAATATTTACAAAACAAGTAATTGACCATGTACAGTCTTGTGGCTATCGAATTATAACTCTAATATCAGACAATAATAGAATTAACAGAAATATGTTCGAAATGCTTTGTGGTGGTGCATTAAAATCCTCATTTATAAAAACCCTACCATGCATAATCTTCCTATATTTATATTATTTGATACAGTTCATTTATTGAAATCTATACGAAACAACTGGTTCAATCAGAAAGATTCAAACCAAACATTTTTTATACCGTCATTTGAAAACTCAAATATTGTTTACAATTCCAGTGTTCTACATTTAAAAAAATTGTATGAAATAGAAAAAAATGATAATATTAAAATGGCTCCAACTTTATCAAGAAAAGTTTTATTTCCGTCTTCTATAGAGAAGCAGAATGTAAGTACTGCTATTAAACTTTTTGATGAAAAGACTTTAGCTGCTCTGCAAATTGAATCACAGAATAATAGAACTGGGTATGGAAAAGATGTCTTAGGAACTAAACATTTTATTGATATAATTTTAAAGTGGTGGAAAATTGTGAATGTTAAACACTCTAAAAAGGCCTTACAGTTTCGAGATGTATTTATGCAGCCTATAAGGACACCAGAAGATAAAAGCTTAGAATATTTATCACAGTTTTGTTCGTGGCTTATATCATGGAACGATTTTTGCCCAACAACAAAAAACTGTAAGTCACAAATTGGGAAACTGTCAAAAGAAACCCAAGTTGCTCTTCTCCATACAACAGCAACATTGAATGAACTTTCAAAGTATTTGTTAAAAGAATTTAAATTACCTTTTATTCTTTTAGGAAAATTTCAGACAGATAACCTTGAGGGACGTTTCGGTCAATTTCGACAAATGAGTGGCTGTAATTATAATGTATCCTTACAGCAGATTATAGAGTCGGAAAGAAAACTAAAATTAATTAGTTTGCTTAAAATGCAGTCTTCTGAGAAAGGTTCATTTATTTTACAACATTTTTCTTGTAATGATATTGAAGATTTTAATGATTATCAACTTATTGATAAGGAATTTGTTGATGTTTTGCATCAATCCAATGATGTTAATGTTACAGAAAAAGATATAATGTGTCTAATTTACATTTCTGGATATGTTTGTAGATCTGTATTGAAGCATATAAATTGTAATCTTTGCAGGAAGAAATTAATTCTTGACAAAGAATTAATAGTTGAATATTGTGAAGATTTTGCGTACTTAGCTGCTATTGATCGAGGTGGTTTATTTTGGCCAACAGGATTCGTGCTTTTCATTAATACCTCTGCATTTAAAATATTTTCAATCCTAATATCTGAAATGTATGAGAAATTATATATTTCATCAAAAAATCAACGTTCTATATTAATAAGTCTCATCACAGAGAAAGTTGAAAACAGGATTATTTGGGATGATAGTATTTGTGAGTGTGGCAAATCATTGCATGATTTGTTGAAAAGTTGTGCCACATGCATTTCCAATATATTGCTGAATAATTACTGTAAGGTTAAAAATAACAATTTAAAGGAAACCAATGACCAAAAAAGAAAAATGAGTAAATTAAATAATTCTGGAATTTAGGTGAATTTTTTACGTAATTTTAAAGTTAAATAATTAGTATTTACAAACTGTGTATAATTGAGCCATGGATATATATATGAAATTACCTGATCGCGAAAAAGTATATACCCTTTCCAAAGATGAACATTTCCACGTATAAAATAAATAAAATATCCAATAAAGAGAAAGATATGGCTTCAATTAGATAAGCTTTAAGATAAACAAATTGTAGATCATGATTTAAAAGTAATTTTGACTAAAACTAAAGCAGAAGAAAAGACGAGCGAGAACAATGAAAAAAGATTATGTAGTATGATGTATGAAATGATAGAAGAACTAAGTTCAATGGAGGCTCATGAAGTCTGGAAATTAGTTGAAAGATCCATCAATAAGAAAATTACGATGTTTACAAAAACTACAAAATAAGATTTTTGATGTAAAAACTGCATATTTAAATGGATACTTGAATAAACCAATTTACATGGAACAACCACCTGGATTTAAATCAGATTCAGACTGCCAAGCATTAATAGATTGGATAAAAAACCAAAACAAAGTAGTAGTTCAAGGCACATTAATCGAAATCCTTTGCCGTAAGCCAAAACAAAAAGGCTAAATCATGTTTATGTTTATTTTGTAGACCTCAAATCAGGGGCTACAATGATAAGCCTTTGGCATTCATATTTCAAAAATTTGAATGGCAAACTTCTTGTTGATGTGAATTAATGATGTTTAACTTAATAATTAATATCTTATAACATTGTAATGATTTGCTGGATTTTTCATTGCTTAATACTGCATGCATGCATCTTTTACTATTTGTCTATTATTAAATAAATTTACAGTGTATATTTAATCAGATGTTCTTTCATAAGAATTTTTTATAGCATGATATGGTGCTCATTGGGGTAGATTGCATAGTTATGATCTCACTTTATTTTCAGGGAATTTTATAATATATTTTTGGATATGCTACAAGATTTCTCGGCTAATCTTTGGAATATGGTAACAGGTAGTTTGGCGACATTTTGGTAAGGCGATAAAGGTTACTAGCTAGGACTTTAGCAGTGTACGTGGATAAAGTCAAGAGTGTGCGCCATGCCATTTTTGTGCAATTCTGGGATTTTTTTTAAGTGAAAATAGGCCGACATGTACATGGATACCGTGCATGTGCTATTCTTAAAAACGCGGCAAGCAGTGGGCGATTCTGCACTTTCTCCCAATTTCGCACCTAATCTTCGTCATGATTAAGCACTTTTGTTCCATAAAAGTTCTAATATAAGCGTAATTAAATGTTGAGTTAAAAAAAAAAAACCATGCCTTTACTCTGAGAAAACAAAATGGCATCCAAAACAAAACTAGTAGGTTGCTGTAGCGGGGTTGGTCGCCAAAAAATCGCCAAGTTACCATAATCCAAAGATTAAACGATTTCTCGTATAATGTTCATGCTTTAAAACATCTTTAAAATAAAACTTTTTTCCTCATATACAGTCAAAAGTCGTTAATCCGGACTCGTCGGGACTTTGGCGATTCCGGATTATCGATTTTTCCGGATTATAGATCATCAGTTTAAATCTCAAAAGATGACAT